GGGCTTTGACGCATTGCACGCGATCAGAAAACTCCTTCGAAAAGAAATTTATTCAACTGATCACTGATGAGTTCCTTTCCCAACACGTTAAATTGGACACTCGATTCCGAGATGGACAGCAGTCAAGCTGTTTGAACCTCATCATCACTGGGAACGATAGTTGCATTCTCGGATCGTAATAGCACACGTCCCTTGGCCGAAGTGACCACTGCGTTCTTGTTTGGGAGTATAGTCATTTTTCCGCACCCGAAATTCGAGCTGCTGAGGAGAGAAATGTATGGAAAGGGGATTATCCCCGAATGAACAATCTGCCACAGAAGGTGAACTTGAATGCTGCACAAGCACCTGACCCAGAAAGTGATTGGTTCTTCCTCAAGAACGTAATGCAGCTCTTAGTAGAGAGCTGTTGCTTACTTAAGAGGAAACCGCGCACTTCCCGACCAGAGTGGGTAACTTCAGAAATAAAGAACCTTAGATTGAAAAGGAGACTTTGGGAAAAGTACGCCAGATGTCAACAACCAGAGCATTTAACTGACTCCACAAAATTGATGAATATATGTCGGAATCTTTTGAGGAGGAAACGGACAGAATTTGAATCAAAACTACTCAAAAATAGCCCGCAAAATTCCAAAAAATTCTTTGGATACGTGAATAAAGCGAAACGCAACCAGGACTGCATTCCCTGTCTAAAGATTGCCAGAAAAATATGTTGTCTGATAATTCAGACAAGGCGAAATGGTTATCCGATTTCTTTACGTCTGTGTATGCCAAGGAGCTGGCTTTTGATGAAAGAGCGTAATCCCCATTTGTCAAATTAAGAAATACAATTGGCATGGTGGACTTCACAACAGACAAAATAAGGAATACTTTGAGTCAGCTACAACCCACTAAATCGCCTGGTCCGGACGGCGTTCTCGCAAAAGTCCTGAATGAACTCTCAGACCAACTGGCCTGCCCGTTATCCAAGATCTTCACAACCTCGATGAAGGCCGGACCTCTGCCTACCGACTGGAGGAAAGCAAATATAAACCACATATATAAAAGTGTTGAGAGAACAGCCCCAAATAGCTTCAGACCAGTGAGTCTCACAAATATCAGTTTTAAACTGATGGAATTGATGCGGTATCTCAAAGAAAACAGTTTGCATCAGCATGGATTTCGAAGGGGTAGATCCTGTCTTAGTAACCTGCTAGTATCCATGGAGAGCTAGACGAAATGAATCGACATGGGTTTATCAGTCGACGCCGTGTACATCGACTCCGGAAAGGCTTTTGAAAGTGTTCAACATAGGCGACTTATATTTACAGTACGTCAAATGGGCGTGAATAAAAATCTGCTGAAATAGTTACTCGATTTTCTTACGGGCAGATCTCAGCGTGCGTGTATCGGAAACGCTGAATCGGAATGGACATCCGTTCACAGTGGCGTTCCGCAGGGGGCATTATGGGTCCAGTTCTGTTCTTAATACATATGAGCGACTGCCTAGACTGTCTGAACTGGGAGCGCTTGATGTTTGCGATGATTTCAAACTGTGGAATTCAGTAGAGAGGCCGGGACACTCTACAGTCAAAAAACAAGCTGGATCGCTTGTAATAATGGTGTGGTGATTGGTGTCTTCATCTCAACGTTAACAAATGCCAACTTATCCCATTACAATCTAGCAAAAGGAGGCCGTTGAGATTTGTATCTCACTACTTTATTGGGGGTCACCAACTCGAATCGGTCAACGAGTTAAAAGACCTCGGTGTGTGAATGACGTCAACTACCAAACCATCGTCTCACTGCGCCAAGGTATCAAAGAAAGCTGTGGGTATCCTAAAGGCGATTAGAAGATCCATTGTCAACAATGACGAAGAACTTTTCCGCCGAGTATTTGGAACATGTGCTCGACCAGTGTTGACGTATTGTGTTAAGGCATGGTGTCCCTGGACGAAACAAGACTACACCCTACTGGAGAACGTACAACGAAGAGCAACTAAGATGGTTGGCGGATCAAGTTGCTTACCTTATGAGAGACGCCTGAAAAAGCTAAAAAATATTTCCTCTCTCTTATAGACACTACGGAGGGAATATGATCATGGCCTTCAGGATCGTGCGAGGGCTAGACTGTGCTCGTAAGTTTGACGATTTCTTCGAATTGGGGCGAACGAACAATCTTCGTGGCCACCAATACAAACTGAAGATAAAATATGCCAAACTTGAAGTGCGGGCCAAATTCTTTTACCACCGTCTGGTTGAAGGATGGAAGAAATTGCCGAACTCCGTTTTCTTGGCAGGAAACGTTGAGGCCTTCAAAAAAGACTACATAAATTTATGCTTGATGGTCAAACCTTTACTCGATATTAATGACTGACATAACTGTTATGTAAATAAGTACATACTTTTTATACGTCCGTCTGTAAATAGGGCTTTCCTAGGCATGCCTATATCCCGCATATATACTGAATTATACTGACTGACGCCATTGCGACTATTCTGGAGCACAGTAAAATAAAATCTCGTAATAATAGTAAATTTTCCGGCGGATAAATGACGGATATCCTCTTAATTAAGATACAGTTATGGAAAACCCGAAGCAAGCATGGAAGAGAACGCGAATCACGTTTCCAGGGGTAACTCCAGAATAATCTGTTCCGGAAAATAACGAAGCAGCCAATAATAATGCACCAAAATTAGCGAAGTGTCATTGCTTGCTACGGTAACGAAGCCCACCAAATCATCAATCGCCGAAGATGGAAAAACATGCGTGGACCTCAAAAAACCAGTTAAAATACTTATCGGAGGGGACGCTGTCATCCCATTCAACCCCAAGGCCCACTCAGATAGAAAGTGTTTGAAACAGTCACTTTATGGGAGAAGACACAATAGCTATGCGTATAATATATTACAGCAATGCAATGAATGTTAGAAATCCCAGGTCGAAGCCAGAACGTCATATGAAAACTAAGACCTTTTGCACCAACGTCGGACGAAAATCAGTGAAATGTCTATGTGACATCAGTAATGAGATGAAACATTGTTCTAACATAGGCAGGACAATAAGGAGCTCGCTCGCAAGTCGTAAGCAAAGTATCGTAATAAGGGATGTCCAACAGTCCACGTACTTCATTCTAACAGGAACAGGTTGCGCACTACCTATATCTTCTTAATCAATATGCCAGTGTCACCCTGAAAGATGGGGAAGTTATCACCTTAAAAAGCTTTCCGATTATCCAAACAAGACATAGATCGTGACCTGAAAACATCCCCAAGACCCCTACGAGTTATTTATGAAAATGAAGCCCAGACAGCACTTCTGTTAGAAGAAAGAATGGCCTTAAGGAGCATGCATAAAGAGCTTCTTCTTCAGTTGGACTAAGAACCGAGGTAACGACTGAAATAATAACAATCGTATTTATTGCCAGTTTACAAGCATTGCAAATGAGAGAACTGAGAACATATTTGAGGAAGAGAATTAGAAAATGGGGAAAGGCCTGAAATCAAAAATGGGAAAACTGTCCAGACTAAGGAGTCTTTCCCGCAGTCAAAATCTGTCACAACAAAGAGCAAGGCTCTCCAGCGAAACGATCATTGAAGTTTATATTGGTAAATGTCAAAAGCCTTTCCAACAAACTGAATAAGCTAGGCGACCCAGTTGATGAAACCAAACCAGGCATTATGAATTTCGCAGAAATGTGGCTGTCTACCGACATTGTCGATTCAGAAATATCATTTGGTGGATATCAACAATTTAAAAGAGGCAGACCAAGCCGTGCCGTAGAATTCATAATTTATGTCGCTTACAAGCTGACCGCAACGGCTGGAGTACACAGTCTACTACGGGATGCGGAACTGTTGAACATCACTATGTTTGCTAAGTGTTCTTAACCACTGACGTTTTCGTTGGTGTACCTTTCGTCTAATAAGACTGCTGACCAGGATCCTACTCTCATGACCGAACTTCATAAAGCCAGTGAGAAGATAGATGTCCTTATCTTTGCGGATTGTAACGCTCCCCATATTGATTGGTAAACATGGTCTGCGCAAGAGCTGTCAAATAGCTTTGATCAAAAGCTGCTACCATGGGCACCGGACAGACTTCTCCGCCAGGACATCACCTTTGGAACGTGGGGTAGGAAAGGACAATGGCTGAACTGCCTTGACGCTTTTTCTACCAAAGAGGAGGAAATTTTGCTAGACCTGCAGGACCGATCGTCATTAGGATCAAGCGACCATGTTACGTTGTGCTTCGAATGCTTATTTTTTTCCAGACCAACTTTGTCCGATACGTGGGAAAGGAAAGTTTGGAAGGGGAATTATCCGCTCGTGAGAAAGGAATTGTCAGAGGTATCATGAGAAACAGCGCTGAATGATAGAGCAAATGATCGTTGGAAGACTTTCAGTTCCTTACTGAAGACGATTACTTAACTCGATTGTTCTCTCAAAAGAAAGACAATGGCAGACCGTCCAAAGAGGACATGCTCGAACTCCCAGGCCTCTCTCAAAATACTTAACCTCTTTTGGAGGCCTTACAGACTAACCTATTTCGAAGAGCACTGATGAGAATATAAATAGCATAGCAACCTTTGTAAAAGTGAGGCTTCTAAACTGCGAAGGAAGTTTGAACTGAGCATACTCCTAAATCCGTTGGATCACCCCTAAATTCTATACGGCAATATACGGAGGGCTTCAGGAACTTAGGAATTTATCGCTGTCTTTAGGTCTGCAGACCGAAAACTAGAGACCGACGGTCAGCGTAAGACATCCCTCCCTTCTATCTGTTTGTCTTCATTCGAGACTCTGATGTTTTGACCCCTCTACCCATTTGGCAACCAACGTCTCCTCGGCCTCTCCTTTTCCCTTGTTTCCTCTCCCCTACCCTCCCTAGTAGAAGATCTGTAGCGTCTAAGCGGTGATGGTGTACGTTCAGTGCGCCACAACTTCAGGCCATATCCAAAGTTATGAGAAGATGGACGCCATTTGGTTAGGAAGAAGATGATTTATTTATTCTGCACAGAATAATGAAGGGAAGTTGGCCACCGGACGAGGGTGCGTCCGGCGTTGCGGAGGCGGCGTCCGCGAGAGCGACGAGCCCTGTGTCACCGAAGGTCGCCGCTGCAAAAGTGTCGTGGCAAGTTGTTTATGCTAGTGTTCTGGACTGTTCCCGCCTGTCTTACCAATCAGCTATAGGAGTTGCGTTGATTGGTTCTGAGCCCACGCGAAGGTAGCGACAAGCCTCACATGGTGCAGGCAGAGAATCTACCGAATGCGTGGTGCAGACAGTGAACTGCAACGAGACAAATCGAAGCCAGGCAGACGCGCGTGCCATAGCGGGCGGTCGCTAGGAAGTAGGTGCGGACGCTAGCGAGAGGCGCGACGCAGCCATTATGGCTGTCCACTACAGAACTGCACTTTCCATTAGCCGGAGTTATTGTCGGATTACTCCGATTGAAACCTGCATAATCGCCGGATTCGGATAGAATTCCTACACTAGCACTTAGAAAACTTGCTAACTAAACTATGCGAAGCACTGTTTATAATATTTCAAAAGCCATTTGAAGAAGGCGAACTTCAGGAAGAATAGGAGTGTGACTTTATCACTCTTATCAATAAAGAAGGTCCACGGCTTGACTGTGAACATTATTGTTATGCCAGTCTAATTTGCATCGCGTGCAGAATAATGAGGCGCATTATCGAAAGACATTCGATGGGATACCCGAAAAAATACATGATGTTACATGAAGTCAAACGTGGCTGGCGTCCTATACGTTATTCTCCCACGACTGTTCTTTGCTTTGAGGAGAAATGAACAAGGGCCACAGAAAAGAGTTGCCCAGTAAATGTCATATTCTTTGACTTTAAGAAGAACTTTGATAGCGTATCACACATGCTTCTGTTCAAAATATTTGGGATTTAGGAATTTGAAGAAAGAGGTAAAAATGATTCGTCAGTTTCCTGTCCTAATGATTTCAGAGAGTCGTTGTTAGGAAGTGTACTTTGGAGTTATTAAAAATGAAAAGTGGTGTCCCACAGGGTTCTGTTTTAGGCCCACTATTCTTTCTGATTTATGTAAATGAGTGCGCCAGTGAACTGGATTGCGAGACTCTCATGTTCACTGAACACATAAAAATACGGAGTAAAGTCAAGTGCTTTAATGACGCAAAAAGCTGTAATTGAAAATCGACGAACTATAAAAAACACCATCAAGTTTATTTTTATTCCTTTTTGACAGTTTTTTCACTGCTGGCCTGATTTGTGTTTAACGCTTCCTTGGCAATGCCTGTAAAGTGGAATCAAACACAATTATTATTATTATTATTATTACTCACAAAGGCCACCAGAAGCCCACAAAAAACGTAGGGTAAATTACTGGCACGCAAGCTTGTGGTTGCACGTTCTCAAAATTACATCATCCTTTCCAAGCCTAAAATGCGATATGATGTGCATCAAGGATTAAAGTTGCAGATCGTAATTCCATTGCAACACCTAATCCTATCCAAGTCTCCCATATTAAGCAGTTTGCGCTTAACACACGTTCTTTTCGAAGAAACAAATTAGACAATTTTATGTTTAGAAAACCTACTAGCATATACTTTACCTTTTAAAATATGCTCAAAAACGTCCTTAGACAGGTATTTCTGACTTGTGCTTCCAAATGCGCGCATCTAATTCGGCTTAAATATTTAACGAAAATAAGGGTTATGCAAAAAGTCTGCTTATAAGTAAAAGTGTCTTAACTGCTTGTTACTGACACTTAAGCAGTCCCCTGTGAAAATCTTTCTGTTAACTGGCTAAAATATGTAACGATTTTTTCATTCGATGTTTAGAACAGAACAGAAAAGGTAAATAAGAGCAGCTCTTCGGTGCTGTTATTCTGTTTAGGATACAATAAAAAGCCTTAAATAAACTCATTCGTCCCGGGTGTGTTCTGGTCTTCGAACCATTCGGGTGTTTACAGTCAGACAAATATATCATCTGTCAATTGTTTTATTCTTAGTGACTTACGTACGCTTATTCAGTCGAGTCCAGTGTATTTGTTGGCAATGGAGCAATTTTTGTCCTTCACAATAAAAAGTCGCATTTTCATGCTGAAAAGCAGTTTCTTAGTCTTACTTTGACTGATAAAACGTGTTTCCTTACCTGTCCATAAAATTTCCCATATGCAACGACTTTCCATCATCCTCGACGATTAAGCCGGTAACTTACATTACCGACTTTCCTCGGTTGCTCTCAAAACTTTGATTGGTCTGTCTCTATCAGTCAGTCAGTGTATTTGAGGGAAATAGGCTTACGCCTTTTAACTCCCTATTTGCACATAAAAAATCGATAAATTAGCAGAATGTGAAGAAATTACAACAGTAAGCGTATGCAGGCATTGATTCACACATGACTCTATGTTTGGATATAGAATAGAATAGGTTTATTATAGCACCTATTGGGCACTGTCATTCTTCTTTTTACAAAGAAAAAAACCTAGACCAACTCATCCATTTCGACTGAGCTTTGACTTCATTTGTTTTGGGTGTCTGTTTAGCCAATAGAGCGCGAACTGAGAGTTCGTTTCAAGTTAAAAAACCTGGGTTCCAAGGCACAAAGGCATCTCTGCCATCAAACGTAGCGCTTCTACCGAATAAAACACTCTAGTTCATGTCTGTCCGCTACAGGGCATATACTAAGGGGCGGTCGCACAGTTCGTGCGTGTTTTTCAGGAGGCTTACCATAATTGTCTGGACTAAGAGCTGGAAAAGATGAATATATATCAAGAGTAAGAACCACTCAATGGTAAGTCACAATCAAAACTCTCGAAATAATACTGAATAATGCATCATATTGCTCTTGTGAATGTGATATTATAGGAGTAGTGGTCGACTGCTTACTATGATCTAACATAGTTGTATATATGTTTAATAGAGCCTTAATATAGACTTACGCACCACTAATATGCAGGGTGTTATCGAAGGGGAGGTTATTATTAGCTCCTTAAGGGATACTAAGTGTCAGGTGACATGACTGATAGAGACGAGGAATGGAGGAAGGAAAGGACATAACTATCTGCTCTATGTTTATCAATGCTGCTGTATTTAATAAATTTGACTTTTTGAGTGCTATGTTCCGGTATTATTCAAGCGGCTGGCATCACCAGAGCTCTTTTGGACCACATTCTGTATCAAAGACTAACCTGCGAAATGTCCTATCTTATTCAAAAATAAATGCGCATTGTTATTTGAAAGGAATTTTTTAGTTTTTATTTTAAACTTGCCTGGGTTTCAACTTTTCCGGATAGAACTTGGAAGACCATTCCAGATAATGGCATATCTAATGGACTGGAAATTTGACCGTTGGGACTTTGTGAATTTGGGGATCCTTATAATATCTTCGTTATTTCTGGTGTTTCTGAGGGCGTTTTGGTTTGTTAGTAAAGTCATTCTGAAAATAGCTTGGCCATAAGTGACCTTGAATAGGAAGTTTAGAACATTTCGGAGTCTTCTGATCCAGACGGGTCGAAGACCGCATTGATGATATAGTTCTAAGTATGAACCCTGGGTGCCATCACCTCTGGACAAAGATCTAGTCGACGTCTCTGAATGCCATCTACTTTCTTTCGGACGCCTGAGGGCATTATGCCGAAGCAGTAATCTAGGAGAGGTAAAACCTACATTCTGAAAAGTTAAATTTATAGTGGATTTAAGGTGAAGTTCGTACAAATGAATCAGCACAGGCGAGTGGCTTTCGGTGTGATATTTGTTGGACGTGGGAAGACAAGTCAAGGGTATTTGTGTAGCTGAGACCTAAGTCTTTTATCGATTGGGCTTCCGTTATTTCATTATCCTCGAATATCATAGGGGGAATTTTTTTGTGGGCCAAAGATCAGGAGATGGCATTTCTCGGGTGAAAAGGGCATCTACTATTGACTTCTCCATTCGCTGAGTTTTAGCTGTTATTTTTGGTACTTAGCTTGAACCTTCACCTGATAAATGTGACAACGAACGGCACGCAAATATATAATTTTTAGTGATTCCAGGAAGCATCTAGGATTTTCAAAGCTGGTTACACCTTTTCGGGCCTTAAAAATCACTTTTTAGTGCTCAGTAGAAGTTTGCTTTCGTTAGGTTTATTTACATACCTATAGTACATGGCTCTTGATAAGTCAGGTAATTGCCGAAAGTTAGGAATTTACATCACCTCCACCCTCCTTGACGTCCCCACTGCTTTGTTAGTGTTCTTGTACTAATCTCCACCTGTGAGTCCTGATAAAAACTCCTACAGCTTCGTCAAGCTCCTATCAGTGCATTTCATTAGCAGCCCTGGCACCAGACTATTAGGGTAACTGAATAAGTCCGAGTTGACTTTTCAATAAGCGTCCTTAGCAGTATTCAGCTTACAGCTACTTCTTTAGTGCACATTTGGCTCCTGTCCTCAGAAGACTCTTGCAGAAGCATCGAAATATAAGAATATGTAAGCGTGTGTCGTGAAAAGCAGCTGCTTAGTGAATGCTTGAGTTTTACTGTGGTGATTTGTTTAGCGCCCCCTAGTCAATACAGGCGAGCGTTTGAAGTGTTTGCTTGTGTCGCAACAGGTAGTCTTTCTTGAGCAGTAGTATGCCGTTCAGGACGCCCTTTACTTGATTTTCTCCTCATAATCTAACGCCTTGTAGTTACACGCTGGTCATATAGGGGAAATTTTCCTTTACTGTCCAATTTTTACACAGACCAGCACAACCTTCTGACCGCCCCAGATCGTGCCATTTAACCTTTCAAAACTTTACTTGTTGCTAACCAGTGACAATAAACCAGTCGTCACTCGTTAACACTATTAAACTTAGTTGCCTTCCGGATCCTTACAGACGTAATACGGTCTCCTCGTAAGACATTTGTCATAACCCGTAAGGTTGATTCGTGCATGATTTGCTCTTGGGAGTCACAAAAGAACACCATCGCCGTTAACTGTGGAACTGATTTCGTCTGCGAAACTGTGTCCTAGTATACGTAGTTACCTTACAATCCTCAATACGCACAGTTAGGGATTCTGTGATATTGTTGCCTGCCGAGAACCCTTGGCTTTATAGGTGAGTCGGTCACCGCTGACAGCCATCCTCTCTTCAGGAAGATTTCTTGCTTATAAAGACTGGAACTTGCCTGCCATGCTTTCTAGACATAGCGGTTTCGCAATACCTTTTACTCGGTTCATTCCAAATTGTGACTATTGTTGAGTCCTTACGTCTGAAGACGATACAGCTTTGGTGTTCGCAGCAGCCTTTAACTTATGGGCGGGTTCCGCATGAGTTTGAGTCACAATCCCGCTTGTGATCCGTCGGTGGTTGCTAATGTATACGGAACTAAGACAGTAATCTACCATTTATGAAGTGACTGACATCCAGATAGTCTAGCTGGACACTAATTTACTGCACTCTGCCAGTGGGGTACTCATTTGCCTGTAGCCTTTCTTGGTCTAAAACTCAGCAGGGAAGTGGTTATCTATGAACACCTAATGCAGTTTGTGCCCACTATCTGTATCTGCAAACGCGTAGTATGTGTTTTTTGGGTTTCAAGATCTAGCCAGGAGCTGTGTGGACTGGTGAGGCAAAGAGATATAGACAAATACACCACTATGGCACAGGAACACAAAACAGGAGCCCGAAGGACATCTCCGCACGATAGGTATTAAGGAATAGAAAATGTGCTCTCGACGCCATCGGCATCCCTTCAAAATTTTGCCTGCATTTATGATAGAACCATTTCATACTTCGTGAGTGACAACAGTTAGTTCGCCTCGTATAATTGTTATTTAACCGGTATTTACGAAATTTTCGGACGCCGACTCTGGTTCATTAAATTTCAGATGGCTGATCTGGATATCCTCAGCGGGACCTCTGAGTATATTTTATGCCCGAAGACCATTCTGTTTAACTGCGGAGTCTGTTGTCTGTTTGCTCTACTGTGCTGTTATTTAACTGATTAATTGGAGTATTTGCGCACTACCTGTTGTCACACACGGGGAGAATATATGTATGGCCCCATAAAAGCGGGATAAGATCCCGTAAACGGCATAAGAATTCGAATAAGATTTCGATCTGCCACTTGTAAAGCATAAAGCTTTAGTAATCCGGCCGTCTATGTAGGTAACTAACAATTTTTGATTGCAATCCGCGTTTCGAAACACTGGAGATACATGCAAATCCGTCTATAACGAGGCTGGCTTTCACACTATGGTTTCATCTCTTCACACAATGTCAAAGTAGCCAAAGTGAGCCAAGATGACTGCAGATAATCTGGACGCACTCACTTACTTGGCATCCGTTCCTATTTCAAGCGTTCTATGTGCTGAGTCCTCGCACGTAACGGGCAGTACTTTACTGGGATGCATTTCCATTGCAAGATACTTCCTCTAACTCGACAGTTCAGCCAATTGTTAGAGACTAGCGATGGTCTCATTGTCAAAACCTAGAAGTCCACAACTGTCACGCGAGGTGGGCACAGCCCTGACTGGTGAGTCAATTTATATATTGTGAAACAGACTTCCACTGGGCCTTTTTCACAGTCTTCCCGCACCAACCGCCTTCCGGTGGCACAGGTACGTCAAGATGAGCGGAGGCGGGCATGAGCACCGCGGCTGATAGCCCATTTGAGCATGCAACACGTAATGCGGTCCTTAATTCCGTGATCCCTAAACTTTTTTTCGGGGAATGTCTCGGACCCCACGCAAATGAGAGTGCCATAGAGACCACAAAAATGAACCCTTGCGGTCCGACCCTCTTTCCAAGCCAGAACCGAGTAATCGCATCAACTGGCAACCTTTTAAATCACAACTTTCAGCGCGCCATAATACAGCCAAGCTCGACAGTCCTGTTCTAGTGAAGACTGTGCAGGTTTGCCACGAGTAAGATTACCTTAGTATCGTTGGTGACTTAAACTTGTATTTGTTTACACCGAAGCAGACTTGCGCAGTCCGACAAACTCGTGTAAATGCCATCCCGTTCGGCCCAATGGACCCGTGGCGCAGCCCGTGTTAGAGGGGGTGGGGAAGGAGGGGGAGGAAGGTACGTTTATGAACGTCTGTGAAGTGCGATGTATGTGGGATACCCGAGCCTTTGTTGTTAGCTTTTTATATTCTCTTGTTCGAGCATGATCGAGAAGGCCCCTAGAGTGCCTGGTTGTGAGGCTATAGTGTTGTCAGGGATGGCGTGCATAACAGGTGTACGTGGGGCTACAGACACCAGTTTTGTAGTCACGGTCGATGGATTCTCAGATGGCTGACCAGGCCGATGTGTGGCTGAAATGTACGGTTGCAACACAGTGTGCGCCATGCGAGTTGAGTTGGTTGTCATGGCGATGGACCCACCAAAGATCCAGGACCCCCCCCCCCCCTCCAAATCCTGACATGCCGTATTGGGCCAGGTTTTTAGGCAACCTTTTTGGACGCATTCAGATGGGCAGCGCTTTCAGATCAGGGGCAGTAACACTGAACCTCTGAAGAAGGCGGCGAAAAACGTTCCCGAACCATCTTATTCATTATCCTCGCGGCGCTATTACAGCGAGTGCGGACTGTTCCAAACTATTGACTGGATTCGCGGAACGTTTTGACGATGTTGAATTTGCATCCAGACTCCAGCTGACTGATATCTACTACGCTGATTGTGTCGCCCTGTTAGTCTCGAGCCTTGATTATCTACAGTATGCGATGTCATGGATGAATAAGGTAACTAATTCGGTCGGTTTGTCCATAAATGCTTGGAAGACAAAAATGTTTTTAAGCTACATCTGTTCAGGAAAAGGCACCCCTCGAGATTTGTGGCTGTCAATCTAAAGCAGATTGACTCGCATACCTCGGTGCGAGGCTGCGGCCGAATAGACAAAGTAAGAACGATATTGTTTCCCGAGTCGATGCCACTCGCAGAGTTTTTACAATCCTTAGAAGGTGTATTTGGACCCGACGCGGCATCTGCGTTGCCGCAAAGACCCTCGTGTACCGTGTATCCATCCAGGCAGTCTTATGTATGGTTTGGAATGCTTGACTTTTTCCATGGAAGATTAGCGAAAACTGAGTTGTTTGACCACCACAGCCGCCATAACCTTCTAGTCCTTGATTTTACGAAGTTTCCGGGAAAATGTCAGTCTTTCTGCTCTTCAGACGCTATTTCTAATTGTATTATACGCACCTATTAAGACTCTACTAAATGCCCTGTTCTCCAGCCCTTTTTCTGTATTTTAGAATGCCGCGGGGCACACGCAGTGGAAAAACCCCTCAGGCTACCCCTAAAAACACTAAAAAGACCGCTTCCGCCACGCCGTCAAGTGCAGATGTCAAGCCAGCAGCAGAGGCATCACCTTCACCTGCTCGTACTCGGAGCAGGGTTTCAGCTGCTGTGGAGGCTGACTCGGTGACTCCAAAACGCGCGCTAAGAAAACGCGACATCGGCAAGGCTGAGCTGACACAGTCCTCCCCGGAGACCAGCAAAACTGCAGCTACGACATCAAAGCGGAGACGAATGTCTCCGCAGCCCGAACAGCAGGATCCCAATCCTCAGCCGACGCTTCCTCCACCCCCTGCCGACGTGCACAAGGAGGAGGAGGAGAAGACCGAGGAACAGGGACAGACAGCGCCAGCAGCTTCTGACACTCTTCAGACGCCCGCACGGTCCACTCGTAGCGGTTCCCGCAAGAGGCGTGGTGCCCCATCTAAATCGGAAACCTCCCCCGCTACTGCCGACTCCCCAGACCTACCCTCGAGAGATCCCAGTTCTAAAAAACCACGGACTTCCGAGGGTGAGTCTGGAAATCTGTACTTCCGACATCATTGAAAATGTGATTCGTAGGTATTATTTAACAAAAAGAGGGGTGTCCACCAGGAGAGGCATACTTGTGTTCTAACAAAGGTCCAAACCATGCGACTGTTCGCCCTGTGGATGATGTCTGCAGCCAACGAGAATGTAGACGACACTGACTACGAGCAAACAGACTGAGGGTACCCACATCTAACACCAGCTGTGGGCTGTCCGGTTTGTGCGTCCAGGACGCGCTGGACACAGGGTAGTTCAACTCGCAATTTGCAATGTCTCACTAACGAAGTTATCCACTCCGGGACTGGGTTCCCTTGTTTATTTCGTTCGTTTTAGCCCTACATGTTTAACTCAACTCACGGTAATGCTGACCAATTACGGGTGAGTAAACTTCTACGTTGTGTCCGCCAGAAGATATCTCAATCTTTGAAAGAAACCAAACGTAGCGCTGCGTGTCTTATGTTTGCATTGTCGATTTCATGACGCTATCTTCTATAATCTTGTGCTCTCATAGTTCTGTCCATGCTTGTGGGGGGTTTTCCGCTCTAATATGCGCTCGGCAGCTCTAAAGCGAATCGTAAAAGTGCTTCCCCTAAAATGTCCCCCAGGAGGAAGTAGAATTGAAACCTCCAAATCCTTGCGTACTATGAAAAAAGGCAAAATGTATTGGAATGTGATATCAGTGAGGGGACATAAGGATCAAGCTGGAATCTCACCAAGTTGGCCGCAAAACAAGGACTTCGGTCCCCGGTTGGCAGTGAGAGAAATCACGGTGATCAAGCCTTTGTCGTTAGTCTCGCCTAGCCCTGTTCCGTGGCACGGCCCGTCCCGCTTATTCACGTCGTCGTTCTCGATCAAGATCGTCGTTGACAAAAAGCTCTTGGACTGGGAACCACCTGACCCATCCACCGCGGGCTCTTCAAACCGCTTGATCGCTTACGTGCAGTTTGCGGGACGACGGATAAAGCACTGACCAGACTCCTCAACCATGCCCTTAGCCAGCAAGTAGTCGTTAGTGTGTAACGGAATCCCAGGTTAACTCACATAAAATAGCACACTGGCTTCCAACCATTCTGCATGGATCGCAGTTGAGAAGGAGGACCGTTTAAGTGCCGTATGCTTGCCTATGACTTGCGATGTTTGTAGGGTCGGTAGGCATTTTGTCAAAAAGAATGCCAACCTTTTCTTATTTCTTACCCTAAATTTGTAGGGGAGTGGACCCTGGGGTTTGGCGTCCGAAAGCCCAAGATATTTCACCATTAAAAAGTCAGTAATTTAATGCATATTCAGAAACCCGACCCGTGTTTGCACCTGTTCCTACGGGTTTCAGTATACGCCATGTGTAATTTCTCTGGGAGACACCTACAACTTTCTTCTGGGGACAATGGAAAGATGCCCTGATATACATAAAGCTCTTGAACAAATTTTTACCATATTGTACAGACTACAACCGATAGCCCTAAGTTTGTAAGAATTAGTCCAGATAAATATTTATGTGGGCGAACAAAGATGAAAGTTCGAGTTCCGGGTGTATGCAGAAGTGAAGAAGAAGAGGGGTCGAGCGCCGAAACAGTTTGTGCAACATGGCTGTCCGAAGGCACTCATAGGTCGTTGCCTACGCGGTCGCCCCCAGAGGACCCAGCTATCAAGACCACCAACGATATGGCGTTCTTTGCCATACATCGAGGTCGTTTCAGAAGTAGCCGAGCGCATGCCTGCGGAGTTAGGTGTTGGAATTGCACACCGCCCAAAAAGTCCCCATGCGCAATGAGGTTATGAAAATTAAAGACCAGTTAAAGCCTGAGGAGCGATCTGGAGTAGTGTTTCGCGCCTCGTGCAAAAACTGTCCCTGTAACTACACAGGCTAGATTGGACGCATGCTCGGGTCGCGCATACACGAACGTAAGCTGGCTGTGCGACGAGGCGACGCGTTATCACAAGTGGCCGCCTACACCTACGAAACGGTTCATGAGTTTAACTTCGCAGCCACCAAAATAGTCGCCCACGCGGGAATCAAAACAAGTCGAAAACTGGTTGAAGCTTGGGCCTCGGGTGAGAACCCAGCCAATCCATTTGTCGATCCGGTGCCGGCGTACGGAGCCCTGCGCAGTCACCTCCAGTCTTGCGCCATCGGTTGTTGATTGGCTTACACGCCCTTTAACTGTGGCTAGCTCTATTGCTGCTACTATGTCTGACGATGGACTCCTGTACGAGTTCGAAAGTTCAGAACAATAAACAAAATTCATAGAGGTTTTGGCAAATTTTGAATAATTCATATTGACCCAGCTGTGAAAAACTCGGCGCCTCGACGGGATTCGAACCCACGACAGTAAGGTGAAGGCGTTAGTACAGCCAACGCCCTAATCACCTGAGCTACGAGGCCCCGCCGGGCGACGCGAGTTTAATCACATTTGGGTCAAGTTACCCGCCCAACCTCCAGCAACGCCCGAAATCCGCCACAATTGGGTCAATATGAATAAAAAAAATGTTCTGGTGCTCAACCTTTCTTCTTCTTCACTTATTTATGTGGACGTCTCAAAATTTCCTATAATTGCGATTTCTAGGAACAACCTTCTGTCAATGACTACATATATGGTCTCTTGGCATGTATTTTATATTAGGCCAGTAAAGTCCTCTACCTTAAGACGCCGACTCAGCTCGTAGTGCAGAACGGAAGCCCAGTGTTGACTGCGGCACAGAATCGATGGTCAATATGCAAGCCAACCTGAGCGGCAGACTCACCGTGTGCTCATAACGTGACTCCTATTAGTCCCCGTGGCTATTTCTGGTTTGATGGTCACGCGTGAACGATGTTCAGTCAAGATACTGTCCGCTGACCACGATGCAGCGGTTCTAGTTGGTGACTGTTCTGTTGTCAGATGGGGGGCGTAGACGATGACTTAGAGGAGCGCGATGTCACTGGGCAAAAAGGATGCTCGAATTTCTTTAATGCCGTACAAAGAAACAGCGAGTCGCAGGTGGCTTCCGGGAAGCTAATCTTCAAAAAGGAAACTGCCGAATAGGTAGACGTCTATCGGTCTACAATACACAAACATTGTCGGCTTTTAGCATCATTGCACGCACTGTGACGACGTTTTAACGGGAAGTTCGCACTACAAGCAAGGCCTCCTCCCTGCAAGAAGCCCACATGGAGGCAAACACGGAGCGTGCCACCTAACGTTGCGTGTCCCATTATCCCACATGAAGTTGAGTTATTTGGGCTAACTGATATAGATAGCAGACGGGGAATGTTGGGGGGACCCACTGAAAAGCCGAATCCGCCCTGCAGCTGCGCCATGCAGCGGCAGAATATCGGCGAAACACGCGTTTCTGGACTTTTAGCGAGCCCTTATGCTGCTAGTATGGTATCTTATAACCCTAAAATATACCACTAGCTGCCTGTCGGCAGTTAATTAATATTACGCTGTTGTCCCACTGTGGCTAATGGACTTCCCCCAAATACTCATACATCAAATTGCGATCTGCGCTTATAGACTTTGTTATATACTGACCTACTCCAAGTTCGCAGGTAATTTCTGGGGAAATTAAAAAGCAATAACTGATCCACATTCACACAGCCTTACCGGATGAAAGACATCTTGTTTGGAAGACGCAGCTCACACATTCCGTTGTCCAAATAGGACGTTGTCTAGGTGAGTGAGAAGTGAGTTGGTCATCTTAAATTTGAGTTTAATTGGAGAAGAATGCAGTAGCATCTTAGTCTCATTTGTTCCAATGGACAGCTGAAATAAGGCACTGGCACTTACAGGATGATAACGGTGGGGCTTGCCGTTCCTTTGCAATAGAGCGTTTCAGAACCATGCATAGTATACGTTCTCTCAATAGCCAGCTTGTTCTCCAGATTGGAATCCAGCCAGAAATATCTGGGACTATTCTCGTCGCACATTGATGGAAACAGATAACCTCCATGGCCTCCATTGATCACTGCATGAAACACCATCTCGCTTGGTTATATCAACAGTGTGATCACGGTTGTGAGATATGGAGGTGAAGAGGTGTCAATATGGTCTGGTAAAGTGATCTTAAGTGCGGTAAATATCAGGTGGTTCTCATCTTAAATCGTTCTACGGGAGAATGTTTTAGCAAATGTGTAAGCAAAACTGGTGACCGCAGGTGCGGAAAAGGAAGGAGAAAGGTCGATTTCTGGCTTAGGTCGTGCAATAGTCAGGCCCCTCCTACCTACACTTGAGCTTATCCTCAGAACTAGTGGGCCTGGAAGGCAGATCTTTCCTAGCAACCACCCTCTGCTCTTTTGTTGATTACTCTTTGATATTGAAATGACATCGAGCGGCTTCGCAGCCTGAGGGTAGGTCGAGTTAGTGTCCGGCTTCAGGGGCAGTGCTGCTTCTAATCATGAACGATGGATCGGCCTCCTATAAATCGCTCCTGTCCGTAAAGCGGTCTGGAGGGCTGGGTACTCCAGTCAGAATTGCAGACTTTGTCTGTGCATGCGCGGTCCTTCTCACAGAAACGTTTCACTATTTTGAGGGATTTTAGACCATTACCTTCCATCCTTAGCGCTTCGCAGGGTAAGCAGGGTACCGGGGATGGTTGGAGAAAATGCCAGCCACCTTTAATTCTGGTGCCGAATGCTGCTTTATCTCTCCCTCTCCCTCTCTCTCTCTCTCTCTCCCTATCTCTCCCTCCCCCTCTCCATCTCTCCCTCTCCCTCCCTCTCTCTCATCTGGTGTTGGACATGAGGGCAGAACGAAAGTGATGAACGAAAATTCTTGGATCGTGCCAATCAGATTTTCTGAATAGACAAGCTCCGGTCCCCTTCACCTTGTCCGATATGCCGCCACATCACATTTCTCGTGGCTGATGTGAGCAACTAATAGGTCCAGAGCGCAGCCTCTTTGGTGGGCAGTTAGTTCACTGTCCAGGTGAACCCACGTTTTAGTGGTTGGGTATACCCAACTAGTGTTTGGGATTATTGTCGACCGACGACAACGAATCCTCCCTGAATGTGCATCCCAGTTTCCATTGTCTTTCCCGACAATACTTCTCAGGTAGGTCCATTTGCTTGAGCCTAAGTGTGTCTCTGTATAATCACGCCCTCAGGCCAAGCTCTCAGGCGCTGTTGTTTATCATGGTGCCTATTTGTCAGAATCAACTTCTCACCTCTTCAGAACCGACCTCCACCCTGATGTCACCAACTGTGGTAGTCAGTCCCTTGGCCACTCCCGCCTCCAAGACGGGTGCGGACAATGCTGGATGCGGTACCACGACCCTGCCACAGAGTGAGCTCTTTCCCACTGTTCGCCTCACGCCCATGGCCGAGCTGAAGGCGGAGGGGGAGGGGGGACAAGGAGCAGCCGAGAAGGAGCCAAGCACTCGGCCAGATTGCGATCGCTCCATCTCCTTTAATCCCCCTGCGACAAGCAAGAGTAGGTCAGCGCCTAACCAAACCGCCTCTCCAACCGAGGGTATGGGAGACACGGTCACGGGGACGGAGGGAGACGGCGAGGTGCAGGCGGGAGCAGCCTCTGCCACGGCGACTGGCTCCGCCACTAAACTGCCACCGTCGCCGCCCTCGGAACCCAAACCACCCACAAAAGAGGAGCTCTTGACCTTACAGCGCCGACAGTTGTTGCAACACCTGGATCACTACGACCTCTCGGATGCGATGAGCACCAGCAGCTGTAAGTGCCACTTATTTTGCCTAACTCTTCAGCATCCTTACTCTGCCAAACCTCTGTTTTACGGTAATACCCGCATTCAAAACACTGAGGCCAGCTACCGCCGGTCAGTGCTCCAAGAGTGTGAGTTGTGCACTAACCCCTACGCTCCTGATCGACAGTTTTTTTGCGGACACAGAATATGGCAGCGATGGTCATTGCAAGGTATTGGGGTGGCTTTTCGCATGTGAATTGTCGCATTTATCACGGCGCGCGCAGTGAAGTTACCTTCAAGTGGACGCGAACGTTTGCCATCCATCAAAAGCAACTTTAGTCATGACGTGCGAAGCCAGTAGTATGCCGACTGAATGGCATTACCGACAAAGACAAGGGAGACTGGAATGGCCATTTCTGGCTTATTAGCTGTTGTCAGCCAGCCATGCCTCTACCATAGTATGCAGACTCCATACACGAACGATCTTCTTGATTCTGTTTTGACACCGGGTCCAGGTGGGGAGGAGAGAATGCGATAGACGCTTCGCAAGCCAACTCTTGAAACAAATTAATTCGTGCGCAAGTCACTGTGCCTGCTACACCGTGCTGTGGAGCACACGGTGGACATCATCGGATGCGACGGTCGAACTATCACAACCGAACAGTATACAAAAGAGAGCGGTAAAAGCGAAGACTCGGGGTTGGACCCCAATCAGACGTCAATGGAAACAGAGGTTACTCTGTGAACGATCGGGAGCTGGCAGAACAGAAATAATATTCTCTTCCAACGTGCGAAGCCAGTAGTATCGAGATTCTATGCACGAACTGGTCACCTATTGCAAAATAACTTCGTGCCCGAAGGTAAGTCAGAATGCACAAGTGCCAACCAATGAACACTAGCCTGATTTTTGGTGAAGATGCGTACTAGTTACCCAGTCGTACTGCCCTATGGCCATCTTCATCAGATTATGGTTTGGGAGGGACCCAAGGGTTTGTGAGCATCTGCCATGCCATGATCAGCAGGTCATGACCTTCGCAGCCTGGTGTGCGCTGGCAGTTCTCCGGTACCTGGTTATCTGGCGGTGGATGCGCTTGCGCCCCCACAGGTCGTGTGCATGACTGCCCAGTCATCTACGTCTTTTGCGTAGTTGTTGTTGGTCAAAATCCTCCTCACTAATGTTTGTTGAAGACCAGGGGGTGTGGAATGGAGCGCCAAGGTGCGGGTACGGCCGCGCCATCCACCTGCGCCCTCTCTCACCTTCAGTCTTCTTGACTATATCTTAACACCGGGCTTTGGTGGGGAGGAGAGAGTTCGGTAGTTGCTGCCCAAGTCTGTTGTTGTGGTTGGTGGAGATCCTGGTCAAGTGTTTGTTATTGACCAGGGGTGTGGAGTGGAACGTCATGCTGCGGGCTCAGCCGCGACATCCATCTGTGACCTCCCCCGCCCCCGGTCTTCTTGACTCTGTCTCGACACCGGGGCCAGATAGGGGAGGAGGAGGGAGTGCGGTAGGTGCTGTAAAAGTCTACCATCACCATAAGCCAATTCACTCGAAAGTCATTGTGCCGGATTCACCTTGCCCTGGGGCACATGGCGGATATCTTCGGATGCGATAGTCGAACTAAAATGAGCCGCGATCAGCCAACCGCGCTCCAAGCTCAGCCACGGGTCAGATTCAGACTATATGGTTGTTGAACGCTCTGTCGGACGTACTTTTGGACCTGTCGATTGCGACCGGGACTGTTAACCAGGACAGAAGGGTTATTAACCGATCTGGTCACCGGTCTCGTTTGGAGTTCTAGTGTAGAGCCTCGCAAGTCGTCAGACAACGACAAGCGATGCCGCCAACTAGCATGAAACGCAAGCCGATGCCATTGGTTGCAACCTTTTGGTTGGGTATAACTCCATTCATGCGCCAAGATCGGACCCGAGGACAAATCCCTTGTTCAAGAGTATTTATTTCTTAAATAATTATGCCTTCCCTTCTATAACTACCAAAATGTTTTTTTGGATATGCCAGGTAGGTAGAATTTAGGTTATTTTAATTCCTCAGACCTTATTTAAAGACATATATGAAAGTCGTGATACTTTCGCACTGTAACAGGTCTACAATTTGCGGTTATGCATTGCTATGCCTTGTTTGCCTTTTTACTTACGCTATAGGGGCTCTTTAACGTAAAATTATATGCCTTGCTGCAATTATATGGAAACCATATCTTAACAGCGGGCTTAGGTGGGGAGGAGAGAGTGCGGCAGTTGCTGCCCAAGTCTACTCTCATTAGAAAATAATTCACGCGCAAGTCACCGTGCCTACTGCATCCTGTCGTGGAGCACACGGTGAACATCGACGGAATCGACGGTCGAACTGTCATAAGCAGAAGAGCTAGAACTATTTTTCATTGATATTTTGGCAGATTTTTAATAATTCATATTGACCCAACTGTGAAAAACTCGGCGCCTCGGTGGGATTTGAACCCACGCAGTAAGGGCGAAGGCTTTAGTACAGCCAACGCTCTAACCACCTGAGCTACGAGGCCCCGCCGGACGACGCGAGTTTTATCACACTTGGGTCAAGTTACCCGCCCAACCTACTGCAACGTCTGGAATCCACCAAATCAGTTGGGTCAATATGAATTATTTAAAATCTGCCAAAATATCAATGAATTACGTGAGCCTAGTAGTCATCAGGTGGATTCTAGGTGAATTACTTAGGAAGTCCTGCTTGGGCAGTCAAATTTATCAGATTTGGTGGATTCCGGACGTTGCAGTAGGTTGGGCGGGTAACTTGACCCAAGTGTGATAAAACTCGCGTCGTCCGGCGGGGCCTCGTAGCTCAGGTGGTTAGAGCGTTGGCTGTACTAAAGCCTTCGCCCTTACTGCGTGGGTTCAAATCCCACCGAGGCGCCGAGTTTTTCACAGTTGGGTCAATATGAAGAACTATTTTTGCAGACTAATTTGAATTTTGCTAGGAGGAAAGGTTACCACAGAGTAATGAGTTTGCTTGAAGACAACTAGCTGTGTGTCGGGGGCAACTTTGGAAGGCGTTGTTCCAAATGTGGACTGTGATTGTATTTGTCGACTGAAGACCACTGATTGCCACTGCTGGTGATACTGAGGGCTGTTACGCAGGCTTCGTTCCTTTGCCTTCCTCTCTTTCCATTGCCGATCCACTACCGTCCGCCTCTGACTCAAAAACGTGAAACGGTGTCATAGCCAGTCGTCTTAGTGAATGCCTCTTGTCTCCTGCTGTGTGCCCGTTTTACATCCTCATCGACCCTTCCTCCATTCTACCAGTTTTGGCAAATTGGCCAGAAGTTGATGCCAAACCTACGGCCGTCTCGGCCACCTCTGCACCGGACGCCGTCAAGCCTTCCCAGCGTATCTGGGTGTTGGAGCGCAGCAACACCGACAGTCGGGCCACCTCTCAGGAGGGTGGTAGAGACGCAGCCTCGCCCCCTGTCGCCACCGTCAACGGGACACCCGAAGTACAGGCCACCAAACAGCAACTCCTCACAGCCGCCTCACCGGCCTCTGACAGTATCACCACCTTGGACTCCTTCTGTGTGGGCTCCTTCACAATGTCCACGCCTCAAGTCGGTGAGCTCCCCATCTTCCCCCCCCCTCCCCCCCCTCGTCCCTTAATCATACAGAAAGCTGTAAAGAAGATGAAGACCCGATCTCTGGGACAGTGGGTTTATTAGTCTGAGCTTTCGGTCTCGTACGGGAGGCCATCGTCAGAGACTCTGAGAAGGCAACATCAAACGAGCGGTTTTTGTAGTCACGCCATGAAGGGGGGGGGGAGATATGAGTGCAGAGGGTGGTATTCGCGATAAGTTGCGTCCCACGCCGTCTCACGGTGGCGTGACTGCGTGCACCCTTGGCTGGAAATTGGGTCTCGCCCCTTGGCCGCGGGAACGGAGCGCGTGATAGCAGGGGGGTATGTCAACGTGCCTGTTGATAGAGTTGGTGCCAGACATCCAGGCCTCTAACAGTTCACGTCCTGTCTTATTGCTGGCCCGCGCCACTATCCGTGTGCTCGCAAAGTTGAATTCGTGGCCTTCCTCCAGGGTGTGAGTGGCGATCTGAGACAACGGGTCGCCTCTCCGGACCGCGCGTTTGTGCTCCGTTATTCGTAAGCTAAGTCGTCGTCCGGTTTGTCCTGTGTAGTGGCGAGGGCAGTCCCGACATGGGATCTGATAGACGACGCCCGATTGTTCACCCACGTCTAGACGATCCTTCACTTGCATGATTTTGCTGCGCATGGTCGCTGTCGGATGGTGAGCGATACCCACGCCGAGCTCTCCAGCTCAGACTAATAAACCCACTGTCCCAGAGATCGGGTCCTCATCTTCTTTACAACAAGAACCTGGGATTCGCATATTCGCTTCCATACAGAAAGCTGTCTGCGTGTTTCCTGGTTGGCATCACATGCTGACCGCTGTTGTTATATGACACCGCATCTATCGGGTGATTGGTTGCTGGTAACGGGTCGCCCTGCAGATCCGCCGGACCGAAACGGAGGTCAGACTGCCTGGCAGCACGCATTTGTGTCAGTCTGCGTTGGGTCCGCGCGAGCTTGCCGTACGTGTGTCTGTGTGGTGGCGGATCCCAGACACAGATCTTCACAACGCGTCAGTCACTGGGGCTAATCGCAGCACTCCTTGGTTGCTAAACTCAGACAGTCGATTGGTGCATGGAAAAGAGGAGATGGCACTGATGCCGACATTGAGGCAATCCATTCATACGACACATCAGTGCATTACTCACTGCAATAGGTTTAACGCGCTTGTGTCTATAATGACGCGCCAGGAGTTGTGACCTGGAAGGTTGCGAACCCAAATGATAGCTCAGTCCTTCTCAGAACTGAAAACACGGCACATGCCGGGAGGAACAGGTTGTGTGTGGCACGCGTAGAGGACTGTCCACTTCTGCCAGCCACAACACCCGCGTCCACGTGGGGCCGTCTTGGCATTGTCATGCAACAGAGGCCAGGTGGGTGAGGGGGAGGAGAGTGCGGTCCATACTGTTCGAGTCCACCTCACTATAAACTGATTCGAGCACAAGTCACCGGTGCTGCGTTTACACCGTCGATACCTTTTATGTGATCGGTTCCCCCTGTTGCCATTCACGTAACTGCGGCCACAAGTGAAACTTCAACTACGAAGGAAACTTACCAGGGCAAAACTTATCACAATCTTCGTTCTACAGGCGTCTTCCCTGGTTTGCGTTCGAGGCTAGTAGTTGACGTCAAGACGACCATATGCCGTCACCAAGGGAGTAGATAGTTTGTTTTGAGGGTAAGTTATGTTTGTAGACCAGTTGTTCTGCAGGATTGAATACAGACAAATAGATGACAGGCTGGGATGACCATTTCTGGCCTATTACCTGTCGTCAGCCGGTCGTGACCAATCCGAGGCCTGGACGACCTGAGACTCGAACTCCAGTTGTTTGGTCGTTTGACGTTTCTAAAGTCCAGCGCTCTGCCACTGAACTACGGATCTGTTGTCCTGTCGGTCGAAATCGGGAATGTTAGCTACGGTTGAAGTGGGCCCATCGATCGGCTTGCCGGATACGCCCTTCCCGTTGCCTCTTAGAGCTCAATCTCGGAGCAATGGCCTGAGCATGTCCCTCGGCCTCTCTACCACTGCGCAAGGCCGGGCGCGGCGGTTCATTTAAGTGTACTCTAGGGAGAGGGGGCTTCAGCCCTCAAACTTCCCTTCCCTGCGGCCAAGCATTGCCTTGGGGCTTCATTGGTTCGCCTCCTTCACTGTGAGTGGCGGTTTACATCACAACTTCCTCGCGACTTCCAAGTTGCTGGCTGTTGTGATGTGACACACTTGTCTTTTATCGCCTCTTCTGGAATTCTCAGTTAATTTGCACAGAGGATGAGTGCAGGCGCGTCTTTGTTTAATCCCTACTATGGTGACTGCTTAGCACTTAGGCGACTGTTTGAATAAAGTCGTCCGTTAACGGGAAAACGAGCCAGTATAACTTTCCTTTTCCTTTTGTCTACTAGATGAACCCAATTCACCCACTGATGAGGAGGATCGCCTTCTTACGGAGGTGGACACCATCAGGCCGGACGTCTTCTGCCTGCGAAATGCTCATCCCAGCGAGGCCACCAGCCGGCTAAGGCCTGAACTTATGAGGCAGGTTTTTCCCTGTTTAATTTGGCTCCGGTTCTTCTGTAGCCCGGCCTTACCTTTGGTCGTCTAGTTGAGTTGGTAAGATGTGGTCAGAATACTGTTGGGGTTGAAGTCAGGGTGAGGGGTTAGGGCAACTATTTCTCAACCACTCAAAGTACAACCGCTCATCCTCGATAGCTCTTCTTTTGCATACAACTACTTGACCTCGTCGTCTGTGCGGCCCCACCCACGGCTCCTGTATTAGAGGTGGCTGGGGTTTGTTTACATCAGGTTGGGATACATAACCACATCTGACCATTACGTTCTTAGTAGTGGGCTTTTTCTGACCGAACCGTGAGTTAAAAACCCTGGTCTGTGACAGCGAAAACATGTTGGATATAATCCCAAATGTGACCACGTCGTTCAGATTGCAACTCAAATTCCTTGAACTGCCTGTTTTACCAGTCGACCAGCCGTCTGCCATGGCGATCTTTTCCCACTCAAATCGGGCCCGACTACATGACGATGACGTGAAGTAGACTGCCTTTACTGCAGACTAGAGCTGCCGGCCGTTAGTAACTCTGCTCTTTCTCGCTTCCTCCATCGGCTAGTTGTCAGACCTCAGGGGCAGACTCAACCTGCTGTGCTGCTGATGCTTTTAAGTAGGTTGAAGGATAGCGACCGGTGTTGATCACTGCAGCTAAATCCCCCCCCCCTCCCCCTACCGACGAGAACACTCATCAGCCAGTCCTATTCTGCCATGATTGCGACTGCGCGACAGCATCTCCTCATTTCCACCTACCAGGCGCTCACCCCGTTGTTTGTTCTTGTTCGCCGATTTAGACGTGGCTACCAGTCATCAGCGTGCCCCGAAGGCCCTGCCTTTGCCAATCCGTCTTTCATTTTCTACAACCGCGACATCTTTGCTGAAGTCTCCTTCCATCATCGTCCTGTTCAAGCGACAGCCCGCAAGGTGAGTGTCCGTATTTGACCTACCTTTGCACTCCTTTGGAGTCATAAGTGTGACTTTTTCACAGTCGCCGTCCAGAGTAATGTTTCTACATAAGGGGTCATTTTACGACAATTAGACACAGTTACTTCCCCTATTTTGCAAGTTTTCTGTTCTTTTTTTAAAATTGCGTTTATATTATGACCTACGTCGTTCCGATGCTGGCCGGTCGTGCAGTTGAATCTCAGGAAGCTTAGTCTTCCGATGGACAGACTGCTGGCGTAGGTAATCAGTCTACTTTTAGCTGTCGGGTCAAACAAAAAAGTGGCACTTTGAAAAGGACGAGACTTATTTCTTATCGCATGGATTTCCTGTAGAATTTCATAAAATCCTGATTGGCTGGCATTATCAGTAGGCCAGATTGAAAAGAAAGGCGAACGATGGACGTGGCCAACCAGTCTATCTGGTAGCACCCCAGGACTGCCGAGTTTTGTGCATTCTGTGCTCAGTTGATGTCATTCATGATGATCACGTGCTTTCATTCTTTTCTCAGCTCGCCTACCGAAGTGCCTATCCGCAGAGTTGGCGCGACTCACTGCAGCAGGCCATCTCAACCACAGCCAGTCTGCTCGACTTGGAGGCCAGTTCAAAGGAGAGGGCGGGCGAGGCGGCTGACACGGGCCCGGAGCTACTTGTCTCCGTCCTGCGTCACAAACGCACCGGAAGCCTTCTCCTGGTGGGTTGTCTCACTGACCAGCCAGGTGCGGACGGCAAAGACGGTGGGTTCCTCAGCTCCCCTTCGAAGATGTACAGCAGCGACGCCGCCGCCGCCAGTAGCAACAGCAGCAGTGTATGCAACACCAGCAGCAACAGTGTCTGCAACACCGTCAGCAGCACTAACCTTCTAAGCAGCAGCAGCAGTGGCACTGTATGCAACACCAGCAGCAACAGCGTCTGCAACACCGTCAGCAGCACTAACCTTCTAAGCAGCAGCAGCAGCACTGCCGTCAACAGCGGTGCCTACAACAACCCTGCCCAGGCTACCGCCAACTGCCCTAACACCGCCTGGAACCACATTCCCTACGTGTACTGCCCCACCGGGGCGCCCACGACCACTGTCAGTGTTGCGCGCTCTGGCTGCCTCTACTCCTCCCTCTTCTCTGCCAGTGGGGAGTGGTGTCCGCCCACGTTCAAGTGCCGTCCCGATTTGGCCGCCATGAATGCGGCTGGTGCCTTCTGGGTCCTGCAGGACATTTGGGAGGAAGAGGTTAGTTTCTCAGAACGTCCCCACCCCCCCGCCTCGTCAGATAGTCTCTCTGTACTCACACTTCTCACCAGGTGACTCGACTGCATGCTTCTTTAGGTTGTTGCCAGTTCATGCGTCGACCTCCACAACGGCCTGCCCAACCCTGTCTGTGGCTCGCTGCAAAATGGCTTTGCTGCTGCGGAGCAGACGGTGGCCACTGCTACGCCGTCTTCTCCACCCTTCCGTTGGGTGCTCTGTGGCAACCTCGACGCGGCCTCCACCTCGCCAGCTTACCAAATTTGTCGCGACGGGTACCCCTCTGATGACAGCATTGCACGGCTAAAAGTTGTGCGCAATGTGCACCTCAGTGGACATGACTACCTGGACTCGACGGTGAGTAACAACTGTCCCAGCTAAGTTAGCGATGCTTTGAATGCCCCTGTCATTCCTAGGCGGATCACTCGGATTTCCACTTGGTTCTTCGGAGCCGATCACTTGTCGGTGGGTAGGAAATCGCTTCCTCGGCAGGCGCGCAGATCCCGACTCGTTAGTCTTCCAAAGACTCGGTTTAGCTGTAGCTCGCCAGACAGCCACTACGCAGGGTGGCCTTGGGAAGGGGTGGTTTCCAAACATACCTGTTTTCAGAAGAAGAAGCGATCGCTGGAACAAGGGCTTTATTCGCCTGACGTTTCACATTCTCACTTGAATCCATCATCAGAGACAGTGGCAGAAAAGGGTGACACGTGCACAGGAAATCGCAGTATTTATAGGATGCAACTACGTCGGAGAAACTGGAAGACTGCTCCGAACGCGAATTGCCGAACACGCGGCAGCGGTACGGAGAAATGACGCCAACTCTCAGGTCGCGGCCCATTCGACGAGACCCGGCCACACATTCAAGTTCGATGAGGCTGAAATTCTCACGAGAGGGGATAATCGCGTGAGCCGCGAGTTGCTTGAGTCATGGTTCACGGGACCGCAGTCTATCAAAAATCGTAACGATATCCCCACTCCATATTCCCTGCTGAGGCATAGGCTGGCCAAAACAATTGACCACTCGGGGCGCGCGCAAGCCGGTGAGCCAGATGGCCGAGCAATCATCACGCCAGCATCCTACACGGGTGATGAGATTTCAGCATTTAACAACTTGAATGGCGGCCTTCAAGCAACTAGCGCACCAGCGGGCAACAATCCTTCATGAAGGGGAGCGCGGTTGATTGCTATAGGTATGCGGTAGCATAGCGACTGCATCCTATAAATACTGCAACTTCCTGTATACGAGTCACCCTTCTCTGCCACTGTCTCTGATGACGGATTCAAGTGAGAATCCGAAACGTCAGTCGAATAAAGCCCTTGTTCCAGCGATCGCCTCTTCTTCTTCTTCTTCTTCATCATCATCATCATCATCATCATCATCTTCTTCTTCTTCTTCTTCTTCTTCTTCTTCTTCTGGTCAACTAGTTCCTGGAACTCGCATCTTCGCTTATGCCTGTTTTCGAAGGCGGGCGCCTCCATGTGGCTCGCCCCCTCGACCGCATCAGTGCCACCTTCTAAGATTGTGCTATGCAGTGAATATTCTAACTCATGAAATGCGCCGTACTTTACGGAACGCAGTTTATTGCTCAAACCGGCACAAATCAATGGACAAAATCGCCGAATTAGTAATGGACGATTGAAAGCTTGAAAGCATATAAAGTAAAGCAAATGATATTACGTTGTTTAGAAGTAGACTTTTTTGGAAGGGTGGAAATTCCGAAAAGGTCGAAAATCACTGTAATTGAGTAAACTTAAGTTCTAGACGTAAAGCAAGCCTGCCCGTGCAAAAAATTGCTTGAATAAAACGGCACAGGTAGACTAACGCTTAAAAATAATTCTCTGGTGGAGTTTACACTTAAATATCCTTTATGTCATGCAGGACGGTTAGCTGACCGCCTCCAGTTTGAATTTAGATTCCATAACGGTTCCACGAGAATTGGCTGTATATTTTTTTCGTTTGTACACTGTTTAAGATGCGGTTGGCCAAGGTAAACAGGAAATTTTTTGATTTCGGCGATAATAACGTCAGAGGAGTAAGCGTTTTCATAGCCACATGTTGACTGACCGGTCACTTTGAATGGAATTGACAGGTGCAATCGCAAGCATACAGTTTTGTACATATTGAGTAAACTTTCTGTCTAATTTCTTTGCTGTTTTTTTCACATGCTGGAGTATGTTGAGTTTCGAATAGTCCTCGAAATATCAGTGAACTTTTTTCGGTTTTCAATGTTTCCAATCTATTTCCCGTAAAGGTAAATTGTGTGCTATGTGTTTTCATGTACGACAAGTTCCTTTCGACAAAACTCGAGGGTACCAACAAAGACCAGGGACACTGGGATCGCCATTTCTGACCTATCAGTCATACTCGGCCTCAAATTTGGGCACTTGGGATTCGAACCCAGAATCTTTTGTCACTAGGCGTTAAGTTGAACGCTCAGTCATCGAGCCATGACTCGTCCCCCTGGAATATTAATTATCAATATGGAACTGTTTATTCGTCAGACCCCAGGACCTTCCCTGAGAACTGTCCCACTCTCCTCCACCAGTGAAAACGTCTCCTTGCCTGAAGGGGCCGGACTCCATGGTCATGCTGTCAGGTCACTGATGCCTGCTTTCGCTGGAGTAGTGAGGACTTTTCAGCACAGTGACCTACGTCATTGCCAGGCGTAGCATTCGGCTGTAGCCATTTGGTCTCTTTAAGTGAAGAAGAAGATTCGAGCGCTGGAACACTTTGTTTATTGTCCTGAGCTTTCAGACTCGTACAGCAGTCCATCGTCAGAGGTAGTGGCAGAAACAGAACAAGCAGCAGTTATAAGGCGTGTAGGCCCAACCATCGAGCGACGGCGCAAGACTGGAGGTGACTACGCATGGCTCTGTACGCCGGCGCCAGGTCGATAAATCGATTGACCGAGTTCTCATCCGAGGCCCAGGCTTCAATCAATTCTCGGCCTGTTTTGTCTCCGGCGTGGGCGACTATTTCGGTGGCTGCGAAGTTAAACTCGTGACCCATTTCGTAGGTGTGGGCGGCCACTTGTGATAATGCGTCGCCTCGTCACACAGCCAGCTTATGTTCGTGTATGCGCGATCCGAGCATGCGTCCAGTCTGTCCTGTGTAGTTACAAGAACAATTTTGACACGGGATGCGATACACTACTCCAGATTGCTCCTCAGGCTTCAACCGGTCCTTGATTTTCATGACCCTATTGCGCATGGTGGCTTTGGGGCGGTGTGCAATCCCAACACCTAGCTCCGCAGCAATGCGCCCGGTTGCGTCTGAAGCACCCTTGATGTATGACAGGGAATTCCATATCGTCGGTGGCGTTGATATTCGAGTTCTCTGGTGGCGACCGCGTAGGCAGCGACTTATGAATGCCCTCGGATAGCCATTTTGCTCAGGACAATAAACAGAGTGTTCCGATGCTCGAATTTTATTCTTCACTTATGCATACACCTGGAACTCGAAATTTCGCCTTCATTCATTTAATCTCTTTCATCACCTCAGCCAGCACTTATCCTCCTGTCTACTTTTCCTCTAGCGCACCACTTTTTCGTCTGTCAGACGGGCGCAGCTGCCCCTCGCCAGCTTTAACTAGAGCGCGCAGGTCACAACTCTTCAGTTGTTCAGAGACCCAGTTTAAGCGTGGGTGATCCTACAGCAATTGTGTAGTGCGGTTTTGCGGAGGGTCGGTTTTCTGTTTTCGAGGGTGGGTGTCTCCATCTACCCTGTCCCCACCGGTTCCAATTTCCAAGACTGTATTATACGCCAAAGACAACCTGACTGGATCGTGGGAAGCATTCACCAATGGCGTAGCCGCTACGACCTGCGTAGGTGTGCCTTAAAGTAATAACGTTGTGCACTCCATGACTGCTTTTTCGTCAAGCCCAGGAACATGGACGGCCTTCCCTAAGGGCCGTTTCACAATTCGTACTTTTGGAATAGTCGCGTTGCCTAAGGCTGACTCGGATTCAAGACGCTCTCCAACCGTTCCTGGAAGTTTTTGTCCTACATACCTCTTGTTGCATTACTTCGACTTTACGGGCCTCCGAACTTTCAGTCACCTGACCAGTCTGATCCCACATCCTTCATTGTTCACTGATTTCAACAAGTTTTGCTTGACGTCATAAACAGTTTTCTAATATCCGCAACACATTCTCCATCCAGCTAGGGTCAGTCATATGCCTGTCCACTGGAACACACGGCTGCAGTTTTTGTCGAAGATAATTATGCGACGGGTAGGGGAGAAGAAGTGGGGTGACGATGACTAAATGCCAATCCCTCTGGTCTGTAGAATGAATTCGGAGACAATAGATCAACATTCCGACCATTTCCGTTAGGTGTTTTTTTTACTTGCCGTTCTTTCGATTTCCTCTCTATTCTCTTGTTTTTTCTCTCATATTTTTCGCTTTAGTCCCTCATCGACCTGCTGTGGCACGCCTTCCAACACCCCTGTACAGACGTCTCCAGCTGTTACAGTTCTGTCCTTGTAAGTACCCTTTCCTTTCTCACTACTGCCAGATGACAGGTTTGTCTGTTTATCCTGGCTCTTGACCAAATCGCACAGTTTGCTGAGGATCGAAGAGTCGGGCCGGGAAGGCGAGGGGGTTGAACTTTTCTCAGCCAAAAATCGGTCCGTTGACAATCCTCAGACCAATTTTGCCTTCAATACCAATCAGACTAAGCTTGTTTGTTATTCATTGACGAGAGACCGGAATGGGGACTTCTTTGGCCTATTTTCTGTTATCAGCCACAGCTGTAGGCTCGATATTTGAGCCTTAATTCAGTTGCAGGGTTGGTTGACAGTTCTCAAAAACTTCGGAGTGGGACATCTTTATGGTGAGCAGAGTGAGGACGACATCTCTCGAGCCAATATCGCCTGCAGGGTTTTCGCATTCCTCAGAAAGGGTCTGTTAACTCTACACGACATCCACAAAGATGTGCGGGTACCGGACATACGTCCAGCCAGTCCTACTGTACGGTTGTGTATGCTGAGCTGCGCGCTGCCTGGAAGGTGTGGAGAAACTGGAGGTGTTTTGACCATCACATCTGCGGGGGGGGGGGCAGTACACCCACTGAAGCAACATCGCGAGGGTATCTCAGGCCGTCCAATATTGAGGCGACTTAGGCACACTCTTCACTGTCTGTCTCATGAGCTCACCGTTGCTGCTCTTGATCTGGCAATCAGATATGAAAGAAAGAAATGTTGCTAAAGTCAATAGGTCTCAGATATTTTTTGCTGATATGCCAACCTACCTAAATCAGGTAAGTAGGCACTTTGTGGGAATGTATTTCGGGAGAACATTCATTTCCCTGCCCTACCATATTTTCGTCATTTTGGAGGATCCTGAGGACAATATAACAGAGGCTTATCTCTCAAATCTGGGACCGAGCACGAGCTCAACATAGTTGTACTTCCAAAGCAAAGCCAAATTTTAAAGTGTGCCTGCGTCGCGCAGATGTTAGATAAGCACCTTTTAAATGTATCACCGTATGGGGATTTTGCCACAGCACCAACAGTCAAGATAGACAGATCCTTTCCGCGTGTTGCTACTGCCAACGCACTTTCACCACCCGTTTTGCCTCTGCGAATCACACATTAAGAAGAAAAAACACCCTGGCCGGCGCTGGTCGCCACGTCTCCGCCTGTCGCATTGTCAGCGCACATTCTCGGGGCCAGGACCACCCTCGTTTGACATCTTTGTTGCCATCCCAGTGAATCATCACTGCCTTCTACACCAGTTCTGCCACTGTTACTAACAACACTCCAACTCTGACTTTGACGCACAGATCTCTACACAAGACGAACAGACCACAGTGGTTTGCGGTCTTTTGGACTCCAGCACGGGGAGGAGTGGGGAGGGGTGTACTTGCCAGCCCGCGGTCTACGCAAACTCTTAACTTCTGTCGTTTAAGCCGTTTCACCGCCTCCCGCGACCCCATTTCTGACCTCCCGCCTTCGTCCACAATCATAATTTCTGTTTGCCATTAGTGACGTCCTCAACAACACTGCGACGCTTTCACTGCCTGTATACATTTGCGAATAGAGTTTGACTGTCTAGAAATTTTCAAAGCACGCCACCCGTCACTCATGTCACACACCGATGTAGATAGTGATTTTAGCTTACGACTGGCGAGCCTGTATGCTCCAATTAGTGGGCACATCACCAATGTTCCCCGGGGATCGTTTGTATTCTTGATGAATGAACTATCATGCAAAATAATATATCGATGATGCACAACTGTCGATAAACGCTCAAGCTGTCAGAAGTAGGTGGGATTAAAGATAATGTCACTTTTCCGTCACTGCATCTGCGGGGAAAGCCTCGATCGCATTTTAGGATTAACTTCTTAACAATGACGGGGTGGTTGGGTGCACGATTATTTGCAGTCTCACACGGCACTCTGCTGGACACAACCCTAGAACATCGACGCTAGTAGGGCAGTCCAGAGCAAACGCCCAACTGGCGTATTGTGGGGCGTGACCTGCACACGAGGAGAGACTTAACCGAACAACGCCTACTTAAATAAATGTAGTAGCAAGTCCTGTGTAGTAAGCATGCGCTCGACTAAACCTATTCTTGCCAACGACAGCTTGACTGTCACAAGCGACTACGCCGACTGCCGCCTTGTAAGGTGAACCCAGTGGCGGTGACTTGCGTGTGAATTCGTGGCCTTTCGCAGCACCTGCCCAAATCTCTCCGCAATTTTTCGTGCCCTGATGACGACAAAGTCAAATTGACCGAACCATATTAAGTTACACTTTCTCGTACTACCTGAACGGTTGCCACAGAAGGGAAATCCATCCAAGCGAATTACATGCGTTGGCCCGTTGCATTTATTGTTTTCTTGTGCGACGGCACCATTGTGAAGAGCATGATGGTAAGGCTGCATGAAGCACGACCGCGGGATTTGCTCAGGGTTGCTTTACTTTTTACTTGTAGTGGAAATTGACGGCCGATTTGGCGGGGCTATTTAGCCCGTATGTGTTTAGTGGTCTTATCGTCGTTTGTTTCGTCTCTTGTTCACATTTGGTCTTCGAAGATTGTCCTCAGCACATTGTACACTATGCCAAGTTTATGACGTACTCTAGGAGATGCGAACCGCACCTAACAACTATCGATACTGGGCGATCGGCCCCAACGGCTAGCATTAAACGGCACGGCTGCGATGAGATTTTCTGCAAACCTATTTTCGTGAGATTTCTGGGTCGCTGAAAGTTATTTCCACATGTCCTGTTGTTAGTGCCTGAAAAGTCTGCACGCGGTACCGTGTCACCCATAGTCTCTGTCTTATAATGTCCATAGTTGCATTGCAAGCATGTTGATGAGTCGGACGTGGAATCCTGTAGACAGCTGATGGCGAGGTCATTTCTTGTTTCACACAAGGTGTTGGAAAAAAAACCTTGAGGTAAGCCTTGGACAGGCGTTTTACGGCCCGTTTAACTCAGCTATGCCCCCTATGGGACAAATATACACACTGCCCCTCGAATAAATTGAGAGCCTTCAGAATTATTCACCTAAATTTTTATGAGACTCGACTAAGTTCCCCACACAGCATAGCCAGATTATGATCCAGGCAAGCGAAAACGTACTATTTTGCCCTCCAGAAGAAAGGTCGAAGCAAGTCATTTGATTGTAAAAAACCATATTGGAACTGGTCAAAGACACATGTATTCATCTCCCCCTAAAATCAACTAATAGGGCACCAATTTTGGGAGTTTGGTGAGAATTGTTGTTGTAGTAGGGAGTGTACACGTATCCAAAACGCGACGGTAAAGAGTTTTATTGTAAGCGCCGTTTACTTGTGTTAATTGCGGTGCGCTTCATGAAGGACCCCAATGGAGACGCTGACTGCCATTACCGACCGCAGTCGAGGGACACCGGCAGTAATCGCTTGCTCCGAAAGTCTGACTGTGCGCTAAACCAATGAGCGTATTCGCTTTAGAGTAACAGTTACATATCCCCGACAAAATCGGAATTCTGTGCTACTTATTTTCCCGAGGTAGTGAGGGATGTTTTCGTTGTCGCAGGTGGCAACGCGTATAGTGGTGTGATTGGTTATTCATGAGTCTTGTTAATAATCTCACTCATACTAGTAGTATATGCTGCATTGGTGGTATTACTGTCACTAAGACCCTTTCCACTCTACTCCACACAGGGTCGTGAGCCTCCATTCACCCGATTTACGCTCCCACCAGTCGCCAATGTAGGCCTGCACCTGCGTAATTGTGTGGACTACATCTTCTGTTCCTCCTCCACGCTGCATCCACGGGCCGTCTTCATGCCGCCTTGTCGCGCCGTTGTCTCCGTTGCATCTGCCGGCCCGCCAAGACCGCCCTCTTCACGTCCGCTGGCCCAACCGGAGACGGTCATGTCTCTGGCAGCTCGTCTGGGCATTATCGCACTGCCTGCCGCCAGCTAAAAGGTCCGTTGTATAGATTTGAACTCGTTGGCCATTTGGTCAACTTTCCTTTATCTCTGTCATTTCTTAAGCTGGACGGCGAAGTATATAGCCCAACGGGCTCGTGGCCCGGTGAGTAGATGCGTTGACTTCTAAACCAACAGGTCGCGAGTTCGAGGCTCGGGTGTTCCACACTTCGGGCTTGGGTATGGCTGGCTGACGACGGCTAATAAGCCAGA